AGAATGGGATGCACTGTTCCTTACATCTTTGCATTCATACCTCAAAGCCTGCAGTCTCGCCTCTCTCATGGACCCATTTACTAGGGAGAGAACTCATGAGGCTGAGGAGAGAACTCATGAGGCTGAGATATTCTTGTGGCCCTTGCCAGTTTCACAGAGGGGGGTCTCGGCGGTCTACCTAGGATGCATTTAGGGAGGCGATGTTTGTGTTTGATTCCTTCTCATTTCCCTCCTTATCCTGAGCCCTTCTGGCTTGGTGCCTACTCTTAGATTTCACTTTTTTTTTTTTAAAGATTTATTTATTTGTGCATACAGATCTGGAGTACAGTCCAGAGGTGCAGGGGCGGTGAGAGGTTTCATCATACACAGAGTGGGGAGCAGAACAGGCAGATTGACAAAGTACACTGCTGAGGGGAGCAGCGGGCGGGTCAGGAGAGGTCTGCCGTGCCATGTGGTCACCTCCGGGGCAGGCAGGGATCGAACTCATGTGGAAGTGGCTTTAGTTTCTCAGTGCTGTGCTTTAACCCGCTGCGCCACCAGGGAGGGCCACATTTCACTTTTAACCCCAGGAGTTTTGTTCAGTTCCCACATTTATTGAGTAACCGTCATAAATAAGGTCCTAATTGTGTACTCTGAAATTAAATCCTTATTGTCCTTTCTATATCCTCAGTCTAAGTACCTCTCAGCTAGGTGACAGGTAGACTGAATTAGTTTATACCAACATGCAATAACATACTGTATGGTTCATTCAATAAATAGACATTGAGCAGCACTGTACACCAAATTCTCCTTCAGGCACTGAGAGTGCAGTGATTTAAGTCCCTGGTCTCCTTGGATAAGTTTGTGGTAACCTGTGTGGTAACCAGGGTCTAAGAAATCCCCAGGGACTTTCAAATATTCTAATAGCTCTGTGTGTTGTGTGTGTGTGTGTGTGTCCAGTAGGTTAATTTGAAAACATAACCCCAGGGTTGGTAAGGGAGAGAAAAGAGTGCTTGTACCTGCAGCAAGGGGCAGGTTAATCAGTAAAAGAGCCTTAGCAGACCACTGATCTGCCTAAACATAGGAGGCGCGTGGTGGAAGCTTGGATGGAATCTCTTCTGGGTGGAATTTCCAGCTACCTGAACTTACTATCAAAAAATAATGTGGGAAGATGTGTCTGGGACTTGGGGCAGTATAGTGGAGAGCCATGTCAACTGTCCTGTCCCTGCTTTCAGTCAAGGTTGAGACCCCTTGATCCGCATACACCCCTCCCCCCAAGCTGATCAGCAACTTGCCTTTTCCCTGTTGGTCATGAGGGTAGACTTCCAGCTTGGCTTTCTTCCTCCCTACCACTTAAACTCTCTTCCTTGGTGGCTGCACATTCTCCCATCACATCACCTCAGGCTGCTCTGATAAATATCCTTTATAACTTGAAGTAGCCACTTCTTGCTCTCCCCAGTGAGCAGCCATATACTTTAGCATTGAAAACAGGGCACTTCTAAAAGCAGAAGGGGCACTGTTAAACATTATGCTGGGACTGTGGGCCTAAACTGAAAATGTCTTCTGCAAACTGGGGGATTGGCCACAGCAGGATGTGGTCATGGCCCACTTATTTCGTTTTCTCCAGCAACCACAATCCCTGGAAATGCCTGGCTAGAGGTCATGGCCAGACCTGAACCATGGCTCTCTGAAACTGTATCCCGTTCCTTTG